TATATTTGGTTTTTCCTTCGTTTATTTGTAATCCAATGTCTTTGCTGTTTATTATTAGTTCTTTTGTTCCTGCTTTGACTTCTTGACTGTTTGATCCCAATATGATAACATCATCTGCGTACGCTAATACTCCACATTGTCTTCTGTTCTTTTCCAAGTTTACCCCACCATATTTTTTCTGAGTTTTTCTAACTACCATTTCTAATGCTATATTAAAGAGTACACAATAGTTTACAAGGCAATAATATACTGCGGTTTTTGAATATAATATAGGCTACCGGTTGATGGTCAGTGGTCACCATAACATAGTGAATGTAAGCAAATATGAAAGCTAATAATAATTGTCCAGGCTGTACGACATTGTGATTTTGTAATCATTACCTTTTGAACACATGTTAATTTCGGATTTTATAATTTTTATATTTCTATAGCATTTCTTATTTATTCTGTAACATACGAATAAAATTAATTTAATCTATTCTCACATTATAGTTTATACAAAATATTGTAAATTTTCAGACATTCAAAATTCAAAGGTTGGACATATTTCATAAAACAAAACATTAGAAATTAAAATACGATTTAATTTAATTTAACAATGATAATAAAAAAAGTTGGTCTATTACAAACTTACAATGTTACAACATAGAATGAAACAAATGTATAGCTGATCTAACTTCATATTGGACCAATAGAATAAAAAAGCAAAAGCTTAATACATCTAAATTCTACTAGTTCYTTAAAATTATGAGTAACCCTAAAATTTACAATTAAGTTGTTTTTTTAAGCTTCGGCAACTGAGGAGGCTGTAGATTGGTTGGGACTGTAGGTACTAGGTTTTTGGAACACACGTGTGTTTGGCAGCATTTCTAGTGGGCATCTGCAGATTTCTGACATGCCCAAGTGGTTAAGTTGTTATGTCATATCTATATTATAGAAATTATAGACACTAATATTAAACATTGAAGTGGCTTCAACACATAGAAATATTATTCTACAGTTAACTCTCGATTATCTGTGGTCTTCTGGGTAACCATTTACATCTAACAGTACTAAAAATTGTGTTTATGTACAATATAACATGTATTTGTGAAAAATTAAGTAAATGCTAAGATAACGTTTAAATAATCGTACAATGTGTACTTATCCACATTATCTTTAAATATTATTTAAAGAATATTACATGATATAATTATTTTAATAGCATTTTTGTTTCAACTGCAGAATTTATGTATCCCGTAGTCGTCATGCCACCCTACTATCTGTAAACAATTCAAAGTTTATCATAAATTCATAAAAATATTGCTTCGGGTTTGTTATTGGAGATGTAATGTATTGAAAATAGTATGTACATTTGATAAGAACCTAAAAATAAACAAGCATAATAATAGTTCTTAAGCAACTTCCGAAACAACATTTTTCTTTTTTTCGGAGATGTATGGAATACTATTTTTCTTTGAATGCTTGCGAATATTTTCTTCCCTGAAAAAGATTAGACACATAAAAATAATTAAAATTGTATTTACCAAAATACACATATCTATTTATTATTAAAATAAAGACAACTCACTTTCTTTTAAGTTTTTTCTTGGATTCCAATTGTTGATTACGTTCATGATAAATATGTTTAGGTACTTGTCTATGTCTAGCAATCCTTTTTACTTGTGGATGGGCAGCAAACTTCTCTTTTAATGTGGCGTTATATTCTAAAGCTGTTCTTTCACGTGGTCTTAACTAAAATAATGTTTTAGTAAATAACTGTTTAATATACATATTTTATTTATTTTAAAAAGATCAACATCAAAAAAATTAAATTTTCATGAAACACTTGAAGCCTATATAGGCCAAATTTGGTGAATATTTATAATTTTTGGTTTTATCATAAATAATTATTTTTATACAATATCCATTCAAAATTATAATCATTAAATAGACTTACTGTTCCTAATTTTTCTGAAGCATTTGCTTTCCAAATTCGTATATTCATTTCGTCAGATGCACTTAAAACAAATTTATTGTCTAATGACCAAATTACACTAGTYAAATGTTGCATACGTTTAGTATGATAGATTTCTCTCGAATGTCCCTGAATTTTATAAATATAAAATTGTTATTTTTAAATGAACRATGACTATCAAAAACAGAAATACCTGATGGCTCTCGAAAATTCTTATTGTTTTATCATAGCTTCCAGTAACAAATTCTAAACCAGTTGGTGCATAATCTATACAAGTAACAGCAGCCACGTGATCTTTATGCACATTTATTGGAGATTCTAATTTCCGTGTATCATAAGAATAACAACTATATGTATAAAAGAATTGATCAATAACCATTAGGTAATTAAAAATGTGTACTTAATATAAAATTAGATATTATTACTTATAATCTTCATTGGCAGCTGTAAATATATATGCTTCCATTGGATTCCAGGCTAACTGATTGGTTTTTAGTTTCATTATTATTTTTCGCATTGGTTTCACTTCTCTAGTGTCATAAAGAATTATGCTGCGGTCACTGGCACACGATGCTGCAATGTTTATTATAAAATTATTTTGTTTAACTATTAAAATTTTTAACGTAACAAAAAAAAAGAAAAAAAAAAATGCAAATATATTACCTAAAACATTAGTATCAATTTGATTAAAAGCTATATGATGTAAACTATCAACACCCCATTTTAGAGTTGATGTTGGTTGACTACGAGTAATGTCCCATAATTGAACTACATCACCGCAAGTTGCAAATATTTTATTGTTTAACCATTGACAGCTGATACCATATAAAACAGACTAAAATAAACATTACTTAAAAATATTGTCATAAATTAAATTTATTCTGCATTAATTGTACGTACTTGAGATATAAATGTATGAGATGGTGTGTCCAATTCATCTGTATTYCAAACTTTAATGGTAGAATCATCACCGACACTAAACAATTTTGTGCCATCAGGGTTGAAACATAATCCACGAACAAACCGGTCATGGCCATTGACACTACTAATACATTTTTTTTTTGTTAAATTCCAAAGTCGTACTTCACCATCATAAGAACCACTCGCTAATGTTGATAAAGATTTAGGATGCTTAGCCATGCAGAAGATACCATCACGATGCCCATCCAAGTTACCAATAAACGGCTTAGCAAAAACTCGTTCCAATTTCACCGCATTAAGAGCACGGACATATTCACGTGATGATTGAAAAGGGTGAAGATTTGGGTCATAATTCCGAGGAACTAAAAAATAATTAAAAATGTTAGTTATAAAATCAACTAATTATAGAGAATAAAGATGGACGATTAATTATTTATTTTAATAAATCATTTGTTGGAGGTTGAGTAAATACAAAGTAATTTTCAAGTAATTAAAATTGGAAAATTAGATTCAAAATTTTGTGAATGTAAAATGAATCTAAACTATTGAAAATATYTTTGTTTTACCTCATACAATTAGCTAATTTATCAACTAAAATAATCAATCAAACAATAATTATAGTTAAAATCTAATCTACCTAAACAAAATAAAAATAATAACTATAGATTTAGGTATGAATGTATAATTTATCAATTATTATGCCATCTCTGGCTGTCCACTCTCGCTACCAAACACATTATAATATCTTCTGATTCTCACGCAAAAAACCAACTCTGTGAGTGAAGTGCCCACATGATGAGAAAAGATACATATGATGAGTAAATAAACTGGCTACACTCTTCCCTAGATAATGTGAGCATAAAAGATAAGTACATAAAAAGCATTAGAGAAATGTGAAGTTAGTTATTCAATATGGTTGATGTTATATATATATTTCTGAATAACTTTATATAAAATGGACTGAAACAACTAAGACAAGTATAGACAAAACATGGTAGTTCAACCTGTATTTTTATAATAAAATTTATATAAAACATTTATTTAAATTTTAATATAAAAATATCGTAAAATACAAAATTATATATTAAAATATAGTRACATTTTTTTTTAGTATGGATTTTATCATTAATGTAGGTTAATAAATATTAGGTCTGAAGACATTACAATTTGTAAAAATACTGTCAAATTATTATAAGAATAAATAGAAATAATTTTTACTCTAATGTACAAATTCATAATTATGAAAATTTCACAAAAAAATATAGAAATAGGCCCWGAAACTAAATATTATGTTTAATTCACCTTTCTGGATATCCCGCTTCGTCTCCCGCAAATAATCATCCGGATTCCGGCTCAATACCTTCACTTTCATGATCGAAAAATTTATTAGTCAAAAAGGGAGTATAAGAATAAAAAAGAATAACTGTTAATTGGTTCAGCAGGATTGTTTTGGTCAGCAATTGTAGCCACGAGGGTCAACAGTCGGCCTTATGCGCGGCAAGCCGCATCTAGAATTCTAGAACTAGAATTGAAATTTGAAGACGAATTACGAATAACACGAGTGTAACAGTTGACTTATTCAACTTATTGTGATTAATGATAAATGATAATACGACGTGGTGAAGGGAAACCTTTTCTTTGGTTACAGTAACCAAAGTGGTTCATCAATGTGGTTATTGATGAATTATCACTTATCGTTTATCAATTATTCAAATTGCATAAATTGTACCCTTTGTCCTTTTTAGTGGATATTTTGAATATTTAAATTTTTTCATTTTTGTTACATTCTTATATTATTCATAAATCACAATTAGTTTCATATTATTCGATTCACTGTTTCTGAGTTACATTTACGTTCAATTCTCTTTACATTATTGTTCTGTGCCTTACATATTCAGCTGCAGGCCCTATAACGGCGCTAACTCCCAAATCGACCAATTCGTGGTGAAAACCGCGATTATGGACGTTATCATTCAAGTTTGAGTACATGGTAACCAACACACATTAGCTGGTGGGAATTATTCATATGAAATATTTTATTTTTCTAGCACCAGACATACTGCTGATCCGGTCGCGTTATCTAAAATGAAAACATTTGATATAACATCCGAGAAGATTCGTCATATTATTTGACAATTTATCCATAAATTATAAAAAAAATTTCGCCCATGTATACCTTAATATAGTTTTTTCACTCAATTAAATTATTAAATATTAAATGTTTATTTAGTCTTTGTATTATCGTTTATTTTCCAGTAAAATCATGATATTGTTGGAAACAAATAATCGCGTTGTTGAAGAATCCATAAGTGTGAGAATTAAAAATGCTTTGGCAGGGTATGTCACTCTTCTGAACTATATGGTATGTAAATTATTGATAATTAATTTATTGAATTTGTGTTGTAGAAACAAGCCGGAAAACACAAATATATTTATATCGGATTATGCAGGAGTATTGTTCCACATTTCAAATTTAGAAGGCCAAAAAAATCAGCTTAGGGTAAGTGTGATGTTTGGCGTTGTCTTTGGAAATCATTTATTTGTAAAATAAATATGTATTTTATGGCAGGTGAGCATAGCTTTGAAATTTTATGCCGAATTACAACAACATGGCGCAACAGAACTTTTAAACCGTGTATATGGAGAATAYGTCACAGAACCAGAATCTGGTTTTAATTTTTCCTTGCTAGTTGACCTAGAAAAAATTCCTGATGATTGGGAATCATTAGTGAAAAAAATTGGTCAATTTAAACGTAATTGTTTTGCTTCAGTATTTGAAAAATATTTTGACTTTCAAGAAAAAGGCGAAGAAGGTCATAAAAGAGCTGTTATTAATTACCGAGAAGATGAGACTATGTGAGTTAAAAATAATTGATTTTATGTATGAAATATTTATACAAAAATTATTTTATACTAGGTATGTGGAAGCAAAGGCAGATCGTGTAACTGTTGTATTCAGTACAGTATTCAGGGATAGTGATGACATAGTTTTAGGTAAAGTCTTTATGCAAGAACTGAGAGAAGGCAGGCGAGCTAGTCAAACTTCACCTCAAGTATTGTTCACRCACAAAGAACCACCACTTGAACTGCAAGATACTAATGCTCGCGTTGGTGATGAAGTAGGGTATATAACATTTGGTAAGGAAATGATAACCATTTTAATTTTTCTTAAGAGGACATCATACCTGCATGTGTTGTTCCCGTCTTACAACCGTAGAACATAACAAAAACTATATTTACGCGAGACAATTTTTTCCCCTCAGTATTTTATAGTAGAATTATCAGAATTCYTCAACAAAGGTAAGAACTTTATCTGTGTCATAGCATCATTATTTTTTTCATTGCACAAACAAATAATAATTAATTGAACGAAAAAATAAATGTATACTCTTAGTGTCAATATTTTTTGCTATGATAAAGATAATGTCCTTACCTATGCATTGTGGAATTCTGATGATTCTATTGTAAATACTGAGAGAAAAAAGTTGTCCTTGACTAAACAGTTTTTGCTATGTTTCACGTTTCTAAGACGGAGACAGCGCATGCTAGTGTGGTGTTCTCTTAAGTCATAAAAACTATATATATGTAAAATAAAATGATTGTTCCATTAAAAAATTATGAAATTTCTCTTAAAAATTATATTTTAACTTATTTACCTTAAATAATTTTAGTGTTGTTTCCAAGACATACTAATCGTGCAGCTCGCGAAAATACTATTGATTTGATTCATATGTTCCGCGACTATCTACATTACCACATTAAATGTACAAAAGCATATATACATTCCTGTATGCGTGCAAAAACAACTGACTTCATTAAAGTGCTCAATAGAGCTAGACCAGAATCTAAGAAATCTAACGAAAAGAAAACTATTAGGTAAGTAAAATTTAAAAAATATGTTTACTGATTTTTTTTATCTATATGTTCAGTTTAAAACTTATTTTTTCTTCGTCTCTTTCCTAACAAATATTAAATTATTCCATATTTGATTATTTCATCAAACCACCTAATTTTGTATAATTTATTTTAAGACTTCCTTATCGACTTAAAATACTTAAATAATTTGTTATATTTATCTTTAAAAAATAATAAAACCAAAGAAGATATGGTTAAAAAACAAATTTAATATTTATTATATGATTTATTAAAAATGTATATTTAACAATGTGTTATAACAATTTGTTATTAACAAATAAGTATTAAAGACAAATTTGTTAATTAATTATAAATCATTAAAAAATCATAATTATAAAACAGCYTTCATTAATAAAACAAAAAAAATTTATTTGAACATACAATAACAAATATAAAAAATGTAATCAAAAGTAATGAAACTTATATACCGTGATTACTTATGTACCAAACAGAATGGTTTTAAAAATATTGTAGGAGAGAATAATTGAAAAATTTTAACATCAATTTTWAAAARAAAATAATAATTTATTATATTACCTACTTATTTATATATTAACCAATTAAATTGCTTAGTCTATTGATGTATTAGATATTCAGATTACAATTATTCTAAATTTGGAAAGATAAATTAGGTACTATAGTGAAAAAAGTAATGGGAACAATTGCCACCTATCAGTATGCACATGCACATATTACTAGTAATCAATTACAAGCAACAAAAATAAATATATTATTCTAGATTTCATTATATCCTTTTTTATTAAAATTAGTAGTTTTTGTTTATAGTAGATTTAATCTATTGTTAAAATATATGAATATAATGATTTAGTAATATTATTGTTTCAGTGGCAGATCATTCATTCGAAAGGACTGAAGAAATATTTTACCTTTTCAAATATTGTATAATTAATAATAAATAATGAAAACATTGAATTTATCTTAAATTAATGTTAACAACATTGGTTTTTAGTCTAGTATGTATAAATATTGTTAGCTAATATAACTAACCATTGTTTTAAATTAATGAATAGTAAAAATAAAGTTGTGTATTAATCTTTTAATTTTTTTTTTTTTTTAATTTTATTATTATTATATATATTATATATATATCATTTATTTAATTGGAACAATAGTATTGCATTTATATTAATTTAAATTACAATAATAAATTATTTATTTATTTAAAAGCTGTTATTTATCACACTTTAAATTACAATTTAACTGTCATCTGCAAAAGGATTTTTACTCTCGTCATACTCATCTTTGAAAGGATTTTTATTATCATCATATTCCATATCATCACCATCTTCATCAAATGGATTTGTGTTTTGTTGTAAATTTTGTACAGATAAGACTGGACTCAGTCTTGGTGGTGTCTGTACCACTGGTGCTACAGGTATTATAGGTGTTAATGCTACAGGAGATGATACCAATTTTGATTTAGCTAGTTGGTTTTCAACTGTTGATAGATCATCAAATAAGCATCGGCCAAAGTATTCAGATATTAGTGAAAAACTATCCGTGGCTCGTTCTAACTGATTATGGAATGCTTCATTGTAATCTTTTATCTGACCCTAAATAAAAAGAAATTTTACATCAAAAATTTTTATATATACATAATGTATGGTATACTGCTGATTAAATTAGTAAGCGGTAACTCATAATAATGGTTCTCAAGACTTGGTGCAATTAAACTACCATATATATTTAAATATCTTTTTAGGTCAATGCAACTAAAAGAAGCAGATTCCCAAATTACAGTTTTCAAATAAGAAATATATTTTAATGAGGATGATTCACTAAGTTTTTATAGCATTTTATACATTTATTTTTAAAGCATAGTTTTTGGAGAAAGACAACACCAAAAAATTTTGTAAATTCTTAATGTGACCCATCAAAAATATTAATTGGAGACCCCTGGCATAGAAAATACTAAGTACTATAAATATTTATTTCATATTATATTATTATCAATCATGAACATATAATTTACTTTTATTCTAGTTATTGGAAAATRGATAAGTGTTTGGTCCACCAAGTTACAAGTCAACAAATGGTCTTTATAACAATTTACCTGAGTTCGTATGATATCCATTATTTGTTTATTGTTAGGAGTACAGACTGGACAATCATCATCGGTTTCTGAAAACGCTTGGAAACAGCTAAAATTAAAATAAATGTAATAAGAAAAACATATTAAATTAATTAATATTAATTGATTAAAGTWGATTGCTATCATATTATGATAATAAAATATTAATTATAACAAATTTAGAAATTTAAATGTTCACTAACTGTTGATGGTATGAATGTTGACACATAAAATGTACACTGGGAAGTTCTAATTGGTTATTGCAAGCACTACAGCGCAAACCTTGAAAGACAACAGCACTGAAAACAAAAATTTTTAAATTGAATATTATATATTGTCATTATTAAGTATAACTATATTATATATACCTATTTTTTAATTTTTCTATAGTATGTTTTAGGGTTTCTGTATCTTTTTGATATTTATCAACCATTTCTTTATCCTTGTCAAGAGTTTTTCTTTCAGCGCCAAACAAACTTGTTAGATAAGCACGAACATGACCAATATTAATCGTTTTAGATTTAGCCAATGATGTAATAGTAAAATGAGACGACAGGAGAGA